TCTCTTCCAACCCAAAACATTCTAGGATCACTCGTGAGCTGCCCAAAGCTGAACACTGAGCTGGATGATCAGCCCAGATGGTCATATGGTCTCCTGTCCCCCAAGGGCACTAAACCACTGCCAAATCCAGCAGACTGGGCTCTGAAATTCCTTCCCATGCTTCCTCACGTTCCTGCCAATGGGCACATCCATGGTGTGTGCACAAAGGCAAAGAGGTGCAGCTCCTGTTGTGGCACTGTCCTGCCTGGGCCATTCCCCCTCGTGGTGGCCCCTGCACCATCCCCAGAGCGGGGCAGATCTGCAATCCATGGGCTGTGCCTGGGGCACRGGGTYCTGCAGCAGCAGGGTCATAAATGCAGCCAGTTGAAGGCATCTCCTCCTCGTTCAGACTCTTCTCCAGGGACCTCAGCATGTGTCCCCAACTCTGTCATTGCCACAGAGCTCACTGCAGGGTTTACACCTATCCAACAAGCCATGGGTTAAAAAACACCCCTCCTTCCTTTCCCCCAACCCCAAAACAAACCAACACCAAGTGATTCTGCACAGCTTCAGCAGGTTACCCAGATGCAAAAGYCCAGCCAAGCCCTCCTTGCAGTTTGCCAAGACTTCATCCATTTCATTGCCTTAATCCAGGCTGGTTACACGATTTCAGCTTTTTCAAAGTTCAGCAACAAATGTGTAATGTTTCTGTCTCCCAAGCATACTAAGTTGCTTTGCTGTATTGTGTCTGATGGGTCAAASCCCTACTAAATCAAGCTCATCGTAAAGCAATACTACCACACATAAATTTAAGCCTTTTAGTGCAGGCCTTTCATCAAGTCATAATGCTGTCCATGCAGCAAAATCTAGACACTTCGGAAAGCCTAATTGTAAGTTCAGGCTATGAAATGCTCATTTTTCTCTTTAAACCTCTTTTTATCACCACTTCTTGTTGCCCTATGGTGTATATTGATTATATATATTATACAGCAAGAGTGATAATTGTGTGAAAAGAGCTCCGTGTCATTTGAGAAAAAGGAAAATAAATAAGTCTGTTTGGCAATACGCTGGGTGAGTAGATGTCACTCTTCCTACAAAAAGCCACAGTGATTGCAGACTCTGCTGTAACCTAAATTGTAACAATTACAAAAGTAATTGTTAAATTACAAAAAGACATCAAACTCACAGACCTCCCGGGGACCCTGTACATTTGGCCATCCTCAGCAGTAAAACCAAAGGTGGGTGTCCCCTTTGTCACTATATCATGAAAACCAGACCAGGTGGCTAATCCTCCTCAGGGAACTTGAACCTTGGCAAAGCATCTACCAGAGGCTGAACAGATGCTCAGGCACTCATTAACCAATTCATTTCATCGTCACGCACACAAATGTAACACTGAGAGCCTCAGAACCCTTCCACCCCCACAGCTGAGACCCAAAACCTGCCCCTCGCTCATTTAATACGGCCCAGGTCAGTAACACCACTTGAACTTTTCCACCTCTCTGGGAACACGTAGGTCAGGGACACAACACAGCAGGAACCCAATTTCAGAGCTTTTTGAGCAGTTGGATCTAAGTTTTTGAATTATTTCAGGGACCAGCTTCTGTATTTATAACAAAGCAGCAGCAAAGCCCCTGGGGTCAGATGAGCTGCCACTGCCACAGCTCAGGAAGGGTCACTCCCATCCTATGCTGTTAGGAGACCCAGCAGCAGCCACAGGATTAGGTCCTAAAGGCTGCAGGAAGCTTGGGAATGACTTAAAACTTCACATTACAGCAGCAGGGTGGCTCTAACACCACCTGAGGATGGGTTTATTAAAAAGAAAAACAACAACAGAAAAAAAAACCTGAACAAAAAAACACAAACAACACAACAACAAGAAACTTAGTCCCTCAAAAAAAAGGCAAACAACAAAAGGAAGAGAGAGAAAACCTTAGGAGACACTCAGAGAAGATTTAAAATACAATTTCAATAATATACATCCAAAAGAGGATGTGAGCAACAAGTCACAAAAAGCAAAGTGGATTTTTTCTGAGAGGAATTTTAGAAGTTTAGGCCATTAAGAAATAAGAGGCAATATCTAAAAGAGGCAGAGAAAAGCAGTTATCCCCGCCTCAACACGCAGTTTTAAACAGAAAAATAGAAAAATTCTTGTCCAGCTATTTCCCTTTCATGCTGGACAATAACTGAAGGAAGAGCAYCAGTATCAGCAGAAGCAACAATGAAAGGACAAACAGCAAGGAGGGCTCCTCACACGGCCATTCTTTGCTTTCAGCTCATTTGCTCTCTCCTAGCACAGCATCAACAGAGAGCTGCTCCATCACCTGTGGAGTTGGAGGGAACAGCACCACTGGAATGCCAAGGCAGTACAATTCCATGGTAAAATCAACAAGCAGCTGGAGAGCCATTCACTCAAGGCTGCAGGAAAACTTGCAGCAGTGCCCAGATATTTTTGCAGGTTAAGTCTGATTTTTCACACTAGGTTTSCTTGTTTAAACAACAGAAACATTCATCAGTACAATGCTGGATTTTTGATCAGTTAGGTGTCTTCAAAAACCTGGCTATGACCAATACCACACATTTGCCTCTGGGATTTACAGGTGCTTTAAAGAGGATAAGTAGTCCGAATTCATATTAAAACCATATTTTGAATGTTTTCATTTCCTAAAATATTATCTTAATTGGTGAAATGAAATGAAATGCTAAAACTAAACTCTTCCTTAAGCATCAGGGGCTGTCAGAATGGTCAAAGCTGGACTGGAAAAATGTCCCAAGGAAAACTTTTGTTTCAGCCCTGCCTCTGGCCACCTTTTTCCTGCCTTCCAGAGCGTTCGTAGCACACTCTCATTCCCACCAGGCAGCAGCCAAGGCTATGGAGAGTCTTAGCAGAAGCTTTAACGGCCTTTGGCAGGACAAACCTTCTCTAAAGTTTGTGGTTTTAGTCTATGTTTTAAGGCAGAAGTTGTTGATGGAGTATCTTATGATGTGCCTCTGAAGAGACAATGCTGGTGGATTTTGGAGCAAAAAGTGGCATTTTATCCTCAAAGGATGAGAAACCAGCAAAGGTCTGAGACTGCCTYTGTATGTTTTACAGCACTGGGTACAGACTGGCAGAAGAGATGCCCAAGAACAAGAATGAAGCAGAGGCAGAAACGCCTTTCCAGCAGCCAATCTCCAGGCAACTGAAGCCCACAGCCCCCCTCCAGCCATCCTCAGGGAGAGACCAACTGCTGCAGGACTCACAGGAACTGATCCCAGCAATGACAGACAAGACCCAAGCCTCAAAAACCTCAAGAGCAGCTTTATGGACACACACTTTAAAGAAATAAATAAATATCTCCTCCCAGGCCAGAATAGAGACTTGTTAGAGCCCAGATCACTGACACGACTCTCAGCAATGGTGCTGCTGTCACGCCAGTGCAGCTGTTTGCTCATCCACAGCTCAGCTCAGCTCAGCTTTGAGATGCTTTTTGTGGGGACACAAAGCTCAGTCCAGGTACAGCTTGTCCTGCTGTGAGTCAGGGCTGCTGGCAAGACCCCAGCACTATTCCCAGGCCTTCTAATTGCATCAGAGGGAAGGAGAGMTGGAAAATGCCACAATTTCATTTACAAAGTAAGAGCTGGTGAGGATTATTTACAAGCAAGCAGTAATACACAGTTACATCAAACCCTTGGGTACCTTMATTCTGTGCATCACACACACAAATTACAGAGCACAAAGGGTTTCTAATTGCAAATCTCTGGTAGCCAGGAAAAAGTTCAAGGAGCTGGATCAAAGTAGTTGGGATGCAAGCACCCAGGGAAGCACAGAGATACCCAACAAGGTTTCAGTGTACTCAAAACATGCTACTTTCTACACTTTGAGCCCAAATTCATAAATCTGTTAGAGAAAAGSTGATTTTCTCAGAATTTTCCACCTCAGGAAACACACAAAACTGAAACTCCTGATCCTTGGGAACATTACTGTGCCCCAGCAGGTCAGCAGCAAGAGAGTGGTGTGCATTCATAACCCTATCCCTGGCCATAAGCATTTTGCACTCACTTGAATGAGTGAAAACTCCCACAGGTTTTGGCRACTGCAGCCAGGTAATTTACCCCATTACACAGCTCCATCATTGCCTCACTGGACTTCAACAACTTCAACTACAACCAGACACTGAGAGAAATCTTCAGCTGACAGGTCAAAACTATTCCTGAAAGCCAGGCTGAAGAAACACTGCACTTTGAAAAAAACCAAGGGAAACCCTCTCCTCCCAAGATTCCCTCATGGTAAGGGCTCCTAGTGGGCTGGCAGGTGTCACTTTATACCCCCAGACTGTGGGCAGTTGCACTGAGGATGTGTGTGCTGCTGGGGGAAGCTCGATGGGCAGGGCGGATGGCAGAAGCTCCAGCATCTCTGCTGGGGCAGCTCCACCCCTGGGGCCCTTTGTTCTGTAACTATTGTTCGAAACATCTCAGGATGAAGACTCTTAAATTTCAGAACCRGAGATTTTAGTACTGCTTGTCAAGTTTTGGTGTCAAACAGAGYTGTTTGTTTGCTGGGTTTTCTGGAGGGAGGAGGTAAAAATAAACTTTCTCTGCAGAGTGACGTGCAGCAGAACCAAGTGTCTGCGAAGCAGRAGAGCAGCAGCTGGGGCATTGCTGCCTGTGCTGGATGTGGCACTGCAGGCACGGTGCTGGTCCCATCAAACAGGCTGTCCTGGCCAGTGCCACCTCCACAGCACATCCTTGCTACGTGCTCAGCTCAAACACGAGCGCTGTCCTGTGAGCAGGTGCCAACCRCAACAAAAGCATCTTCAAAAACAAGCATTCCACCCCCCTACCTGATTGTCCTAAAAACAAATCAGTGCTTTAAGAAGGCCAAGACATGCCTTGCCCAAATACAGCTATTTTTTTTTTTTTATTCAGAAGATACACAACTGCCTTCRAGCTTTCCCCTGCTATTCCAGGGAAAAAAAAGACCCAACAAAACAGAAGAGAAATGAAGTCAAATATGCTTTATTACTTATTAGTTAGTAATGTAATACTTCTGACAAGCTGAACAGTTGTAGCAGGCGGCTCTGGAAGTCCCTACTCAGACTGTTTAGAAGGAAAACAGGAATGAGAGACAGCTCTGAAAGGGAGATTTTAAGCACAGCTCAGCCATCCTGCCGTGCCCAAACCAAGTACTGTTATCCAGTTAATTTAGTGAATGAATCCCTCAGGGTCTCCAGCCATCTACCACTACAGCTCATTAGAGCCCAATATCCGACTTTTCATGTTGTATCACTGAAAGCACTTATGTTTAAAATGTAATTAAACTTAAAACAAACAAGGTCTGGTTTCCCCCCTCGGCTGCCCTGGGACGTGCCCCAGCCCTGGCCGCTCGGCCAAAGGCACCCACCTCTGCCTCCTTCTTTGGGAAATCGCCGTGTGCTCCCCACACCGACTGCTGACATTTGCCCGAGCGTTCATCCTGTGAGCAATTAGAAATCTAAATACTGGGTGTAATGCCTGGCTATTGGGATTTAGACTCTTACAAACGAGTAATGCAGTAAGACTCGCTGTCCAACGAGGTGTCTTATTGAAATATCCCAGGCTGGTTGCCTTGTCACAGCTGTCGTTTCAGCCATTTGCACTTACACTGTATTGCTTTCATTACAAAAATAGAAATTTGTGTCCTAAGTGCTGTTACATTACTAATGCTAAATATTTAATTCCCYGGGGTTCTAATTATGGTTGAGCACTGGCAACACTGATTCTACTTTTTAATAACAACTGTAAAAGCAATTTGAGCATTTTTCAATTAATTAAATACATAGTCTACGAGTAACCTCTTGTCATTTTGCCCTCCAGGACCTGAGCTAATTTGCGTGGAATAAAATGTTTTGAAAATTAACTGATATACTGGTCTGATCATTGTTGTTCTATTAAATTATAGTCTGCCAAATGAGCGGTGTGTAATAGTTACATACTGTACCGTTCCCTTATTTATGATGGCATGGTGGTTTTTTGAAAAAAACTTCTCCAGCACATTKCTAGAGAGTGCACTGGAGAGGCCTAATTAGCAGGCAGGAGATGGTCTGTGTACCACAGGCATCAGTGGACTTACAGTGTCTTACAGAGTCTTCAGCGATGAAAAACAAAGCCACTSTCCATTCTCCAGACCTCATTTTCACCTTCTTTCATAGCTGAAATTAAAAGTGTTAATTAAATGACTTTCTGCTGCATAAACTTTTATGGATTAGTTAGTAGTTTACACTTTAACACATGGGAATTGACTCACAATGTTAAAACACACGAGTAGTTTAGAAATGTTTTTGTCTTCAACTTGCAGAACCCAATATGAAAAGATTTGTCYATCAAATGAGTTTGTTGAACTACAAAGACAGTTAAAAATACCTCGCCTGAAGATAACCAGGCATAAAAGAAACTTCTACTGCATRCCTAAACTAATTATAAAATTATAAAGTGTATTTTCCGTTCACACAGTCCTAGAAATTGAGATCATCAACACAACAGCATCTTATGTATCCTGGTAAGGGCAAGAAACCTCTTTTTCAAGCTCCACACTAAAGAAAATACAAAATCTACTGGGAAGAATTTARCAAAAAACCCTAAAATTTTGCAAATAGTTTTTTCATATCTTTATTCATAGCTAATGAACAATGTTCTTTCGGCATGTATTTTAATATTGCATTTTATAGTCTGCAGTAATGGTAACTCAAACCTACTGCTTGAAAAGGTCTTAGGGTCTAAGCATTGCAAGATATACCAGTGAAAGTTTGATAGTTTTAGCCAAATAATTTAACAGTAAGGAAAACGTTCTACTCTGAAATCATATGAAATAAGGATGATAAATAAACAAGTCTATTTTTTCATAAGCTGCAAAAATATCACCCATGTGGAACATTGCACTCATCATACTAGTTAAAATGAAACCCAGCCTCAGTTTATGCTGAGCAAGTAAGGTTCCTTGCTTGCTACCACCACACTCACACACTAAGAGCTGCAACTCAAACTAATCAGGGTTGCATTTCAGTTTAAAAAAACATCAATTTAAACCCCCCACAGCATACTGCAGATTTCTTTCAGCATCAAGCAAGTTAAGATTCTCAGTCAACATTAGAACACTATTTTTTTCCAAATACTAAATAGAATATACAATCACTGTCAAATAAAAGTGCTCAGGTCAAGCATTTGTGTGTAGGTGTATAAGTACATACATTAAACATACACACAGACAGAATATGAAGAACACGAGCAATGTATTGCAATAACAGCTCTCTTCTGAAAGACAGATTTATGTAACAGCATAAAACTTGGAAGTTATCTTTACTACTATTAAAAGCTGCCCAGTATCTCTAGATGTCTGCCTTCAATAAATCCTGGAAACATTCTGCTCACATACTGAGTTTTAAGGAATGTGCAGCATATGTCAACTTCAATAAAAGCAGTACAGTTCTTTAATTACCCCATTCACCCAGCAGCTGCTTTAACGAAGTATTTTTCTGAACATGTGAAAATGTAAAATACCAAAAAATCAGTCATCTATGTGCAATGACTACTCAGCATCTAACAATAATGGATATACTGAAGGACAAAAACGTGAGTCATGCCAAGCCCATAATTCTCAGTGACTGACTGTAAAGCACTTAGAGTCAGCATTAAGCTTTTAAAACTTTAACCCTAATCAACTGTAAACAAAGAAATAAAGATCTTGTGGTTGTTTTAAAAATCTTAAACACTAGCACATAACTTTGAATAATTTCTTCTGCTTTTTCAGATTTTCGCAGCATTCTTCCCAAGTAAAACATGGACTTTGCATGAAAACAGGCTTGTATATACAATCTGAAAAATAACAACACCTACTGAAACACATGAGCTAATTATACCTGGCATTTTGGAACTTTGGTGGTAATATTGATTGCCACAGAGCAGAGCTCACCCCTGTTAGCCAACATCAAAGGTGCACAAGATTCAGAAATCTACATGGAGACAACCTCTCCCCTACTCCAAACACTTCTGCCCACAAGTCTTTTCATGGTACAGGACAGCAAACACCATCTCCCCAGGCTGCAGGGAACTTGGAAAAGTATGATTTGCACACATTTATTTCAACCTTGGTGACAGCACAGCAACAAAAAGCCCATTAAAAAGAATAAAGGCAGATAACTGGATACAATCAACTTGCAATCATTTTCTTGTAACGTGTTAGTGAATGGGTGCTGGCTAACTAATCTTAGAGCACAAACCTAATTTATCCACAGCAGGATGCTGTCAGATTATTTTCAAGCTAATAATTATTTCGAGCAGAAAGGCAACATTACACTTTGTAGAAATAGGCACTCTGTAGAAGACATTTGCTCTGAAAAAAAAGATGTCCATGTGCTGTTTGATTAATGTGGGTGGGGGGAGGATGGATGGACCAGAGCAACCCACCTAAACCAATGAAACACCCTGCAGAAACAAACAGCCAGGTGAAAGAGGATCTTTGAAAAAGGCATGGCACTAAGAGACAGGAACCTTACCAATGCCCCTCACAATCCATTTGTGAAGAGAAGCTTGAATAACTTTGAGTAACTTTTCAGTAGAAGCTGCTATTCTATGAAGACATTTGCTGTCCTGAGACTTCTCACTCCCTTCCAAGCCAGAAGGATGTAAGATGACCCAGTCTGACCCCAGGTGTTGCAAAAGCCACAGAAGCCTGTGAAGAATTCCTCTACCCCACCTAGCCATTTGTTCAAACACATACCTCTATAAAAACACTTCATCCTCACTCAAAAGATAGAAAACCTAATATTCCCTTTCTAATAATTTCTAATGAGTCATTGCTCTTATTAAAAATTTGCTCCTTAGTTTGTCATTAACTGATTTTTATCTCTGTATATTGTCAACACATATTGCCTTGAAAATGTGCTATGTCTGGAGTATGCAAGCAGGCATATAAAATCAAGTGTCCCATTACAGATGTAAAGATTATTTTCAGGAATGCACCTTTTATTCAATCAACTTAGAACCGAAATTAAAGGAGTTAGAAAGTAACCATATAGCACCAGTTAAGAAGGTAAACTATGTTTTGTCCAACATATTTGTGGAGAACATATATAGAAATCATGTGTTTATAATAATAAACACATGATTGCGATTGGGATTCCTGATAGATTCAGAACGAATGCAGCAATCACCGAAGAGCCAGGAAGTCTACTKGAAACCAACCTATTATTTGGAGTATTTATAAGAAGAAAATCTGCCTTCCTTGAAGTATTATTTTGTTGTCTTTTTAGCACTACATAAACAGTATGGYAGTCTTAACTATAGTATTTGATCATTTTAAGTGCTTGGATGTAAAATTTTACTCATCAGCTTAACATCCACCACAGTGCTCTACATAAGATGTTTTGCAGTAYTTGTTTAAGTGTGTATTACCACTTAAGCAGGTAAAAACATTCCTAGGCAATCCCAAGTATTTCATTAAACATTTCAATCTTGGCACTGCAATAGTCCCTTTTAAGATAAAAAGTTATATTAATTGTGGGCTGTCTCAGAGAGCTGTGGAGGCTCATTTGTGCTTAGTTCATGGTCAGGAGAGACATGTGACAGTCGTCTGGGGGAGGTACACCACTTCTTGAGCTCAGCCACAGTTCAACCCTGGGCTGCTGGAACAGGGCACAAGTCTCACACCTGGAGCCGCACCCGTCCACCATGGAGCTCAGAGACTGGATGGGGCAAGCTGAGGATTTTGGAAACTATGTGGCTGGCACTCTGCCTCCCTGAACTATGCACACACCAGGCACCCCACTGCAAGTACAGGCTACCGAGGGTAGGAAAGGGTTTAGACTCAGGAGCCCAACATTTTCTCAACATACGGCAGTATATAGCCAAGTCAACTCAAAACTTGGCAGAAGAGCAATAACTTTCCCACTATGTTTTTACACAGAATTGTAAAATATTAGTGAGGTCTAAGTTTGTGCACCTTCCCAGATCTCTTTAAGCCTCATCCCTTCACGTTACTGTTTTTCAGGGAACAGCAGACGTGGGCTCTGATCTGAAGATACAGTGATAATGCAGTGCTGCCAAGGATCAACAGCCAGGGCAAGCAGTCCTGKGCCTTCAAAGCAGCACCTGCCCCTCCCTTACAGACCTGGTACGTTATTCTCCTTCCTTCCATATGTACAGTATGGCCACTGCATACTTCTCATCCTTTACCAYATGGCCAAAGAGCAGACAATGGATGGCACACAAGCTGAGCTGGAGGAGGTTCAGTCCTTTTGTGACTGAACTATGTTCTTTCCCCCTGGCAGTGCCCTGAGAGGAGACACAAGCAGCTCTGCTGCTCTCAGGTTTCTGACAGATCAGAAAGCCTCTTGTTCTTTGTATGTCCAAGCCATCTATCGGATGGCACCCACACTCCACAGCYTTCTCACAGGAAGGGTCAGTATTGAAGGAGCTGTTGAGTGCACTGCTTATTCAGTACATCCTAGTACTAGAGATTATCCACACCATTCTAATTTTGGCACAAAGAATATCAAGAGCTTGGATGCCTCACCAGACTCGAGCATCTCTGATTCAACACTGCAGAGAAGCAACAGCAGCCATTCCTGCTGGAGGTGTTCTCCCTTCTCAAGAGGCATCTCGTGTGTCAAAAGCAGTTCTCCTGAGGCATGTGCTGGCTGAGGCAGCCTCTTTGATGAGTAAACAGCATGTTCTGGAGATAATGGAAACACTTGTATCATTCCCACACCTTGACCAGATAATTTTCCTGAAATAGGTTTGTTATGTACACACACTCACACCAAGTCTCTCCCCTCACACTGGCATGCTCAAGGAGTAAGTCAAAGAGCACAGGTTTATTTTGTATGATACAGGATGTCCCCGAAATGTGAATATTATGCATGTCAGATCTGCACAGCTTTCTAACACGTCCAATTATTACCACATCTGAGAGATGTAACTGCACCTGCTGGAAAGGTGACACACCAGGGCCCGTCCTCAACAACCCTCTTGTCAACACACCACCCTTCCCAGACATGATGTCTGCACAGCTGGTCTGTRTACTCCCTGTCCTTCATCAAAGTGACCCAGGGTGCTGGGTAACTAATATTTGATAACATGATTAACTTGGGCTGAAATWAGTCTGGGTGTGCTCAGGGAAACAGTTGAGTTTCCTTCCCTAGCAGGGACAGAATGAGCAAGCAAGTGTGCATGAAGCCTCCTTTAACCAGCACAGCTGCTGACAAAGGAGCCTGTATCTCTCGCCTTCTCTGAAGTTAATCCCAGCAGTTTAAAGCAGACGTGTGAAAAACCATGAATCTGAAGTTACTCTGAAATGCTACTCCAAGGACACATTAGTTCCACTAGAGTCAAAGTATACACCAGACGCAATAGGTCGAGTTCTAGTCGAAGAGATTGCACAGAAAGTAAGAGCTAATAATTCTTAATTTGGCATAACATGACATTCCCAACAGCTTCTCTCTCTCCTTCCAGTAATTGTGTCTTGGCAGTGTAYATATTAAAAAAATCATTGCACAAAAGACATGTGCTGTTGGGGAAAAAAAAAAACCCAAATACCAAAGCACCTTTCTTTGTTTTGTGTCATTCCAAAAACTGAAGACATTTTCACTGAAAGGCAAAATATCCTGATCAAAAGACAAAGGGGACAAAAACGCATTCATTCCTTATTTGTTTAAGAATTACTAAAAAGAAACATTTTTGCAGGAGGCTACAGAAACAGTAATTTAGACAATAATAAACTGAGCATTGTAAGAATAATTATTCCATTGAATAAAAGAACTCTGGCAAGAAACTTTTCACATGGCATTCAACAGACATTCAAATACATGAATGAAGTATTCAAGTTAAATTGCTTCAAAAATTAAGACTTTCCAGCAGTTTACCATAATGACAACATTCTATAGAAAGATACAATAGCTCTTTGTAGCCTAAAAATTGTCAGTTTTATTTTACAAAGATGACTTCCAAAAGCATCTTGTCATGACAATAGAGTTTTGAGGAAAAAACAACCTGTCATTTGACAAACAGAAGAAATTAACTGTCATTAAAGCCACTTAAGCACTCCTCCTTCCTGTTATCCTTCTCATCTTGGCAGTAACTGATAAGAAGATTTCAGGGAGGCTCAGTCATTGATGGCAGGATCTAGAAAAGAAACAATTTTGCATACAGTTATCATTCCCATTCAYGGCTTCTAGATACTGTATTTCACTAATCTGCACTTAATTGGYTTCCTTCTGCCACTGGCATGAGCACAGTGGACCACGCACTTCATACAAATCACCACTCACTGTTACACTTTGCACCATGAAAATATCGAGGTGGTTGCAGTCCTGTGGTTTGATATTGTACACAAAGGTAACACTAGCAAAGCCCTGTTATCCACCARCTATGAGCTGCTAATACCAGCCAGTGCTTTAGCCAGTAGGGARCAGACATTACTTATGGGACACGGCTGAACTTGAGCCTGTAACTTCTGGAAAACGTACCACTCATCCACAGGAACATAGCAACAAAATAAATGAAGGACCAGATGCAAGAATACAGCAGAATCAGTGAAGAGGAAAACTACAASTGCATATTCACCACCCACCCCCCCTTCCAAAAAAAAAAGCATTATCCAAAATTTTGTTTAGCTAAGCAAGCAGCTTCCAGAGGAAAGGAAGACATGGACTGGGCAAAGAAAAAGATCTGAACCTTGCATATCCAGACTAACTCCCATTCAACCCCAGGAGGTTGTGTGCATGGCAATCCCTCTTCCAACAGAGTAATTAATTGTATTCCCACATTAAAGATACCATGGCACACATCCACCTTGGCAGATTTCTAGCTGGCTTTGATCCTTTCCACCTTCCACATGCCAGGTTCCTCACACCAACTGGCCCTCAGTGACAGYTGAGTTTTTAATGCCATACAGTACCTTGATGTAAATGGGTTTTGCCCTTTTTTCCACCTTTTGCTAGACTACACTGCCACTTAGTCACTGCACTGACATAACAACTCCACCTTCTCTGCTGCAGTGCAGCTGTACATCCACTGACGTGACAACGGCAAGTGAGGGGCTTCATCCCTACAGGAGCAGAACTGCCTTTCAGTTTGCAACTTGCATCATTTTCATGCTGAGGACAGAGCATATGGTCCTTCGAAGGGACATCAAAATAAATATGACAGGTCAGTGCAATCATCATACTGAATGAATTCAAATGATGCCATATCTAAAATGAAATGTGTGCACATAATAAAGATTCAAATGACAAAAAAAATTCCCCTACCCTTTATCCCTCTCTGAATTATTTATGAATTCTGCAACTCCAGCTGTTGCCACCAGCCCAAGGACATTACTTCATTTTGGGAATGACACTTCATATTAAAAGATAAGTTAACAAAAGAAAACAAAAAGAGAAAAAAAAGACACTGTGGGCCTTAAAAGTCCACAGCAAAGCACAATACATCTTTTCCCAGCGTTTACAAAGGAAAACAATCAACAATCAATTCTATTCATGTTTCTCAACTTGTTTCCATAATTCCAGACACAGATTTCAACACTCATGAATTAAGTCAGCCATACCTTTTTTAACCATTGCAGTTAAGCAAGACTCCCAAAGCATCTTGGATCCCTAACGTATTTTTTTAGAGTTATCTCAGTCTTACAGTTCACCATAATACATATGCCAACATACCAAAGACTGTGATACTATCGGCACTATTGACAGCTTTTAGTACATAAAATGGTCATTCCAAGAAAATGGAWTATCTGCATGTATGGAATTGCTTTTGAGAAAAGCAATAACTTTTCATAAATTTAAACAAAAAGAAGCAACACCTTCAGCATGTAGTTTAGGGCAAAAAGAATTGGTTTCAAGTAATCATGACAGTTAGATTGGCAAATTCTATATAGTGCTGTCTGCCTACTTGTAGACTGCTCTGACTTGGGTTCCATCATATATTAGTTCTTAGATTTCAAAAAAATTAATTGGCAATGGGAAGGAGGCAGGAGGGAGAAGGCTTAGCCAGTAAGCACAATTTTCATCACCTGCATCAACATGTTCTGCTCCCTCACTTTAAACTAAGAACTTGGGTTAGTTGGCTGTCTGTAGAGAAGATAACAGAGGCTGAGTAAATCGGAAAAAAAAAAAAATTAAAAATCCACCATTGGTTTTRGTTGCTACTTTATTCATAATGAAGTCTGTTAACTAGGAATAGAGATCTGAACTGCTACACAAAGCTCACACAATTAACATCACATCACCTTCCCACTACAAGAACATACTGATGCACTGTCTTCACGTCAGGACTGAAATTAACTGAAATGGGTCAAAATTTGCAAGTTGCCAAGTGCTGAGGGACATACASCCCCTAAATACCAGCCCTTCATGACTGACCAACAGCCTCATCTCTGCCAGAAAGGGTATCACTCAGTTCTTACCAATGATCTTGATCTCAGAGTCTTTTCTGCTTTTACCTAACTGAACAGCAACCRGCTTATGTTCTGCTCCTGGGAGATCCCAAATGCCACAAGAAATTTTAACCAGTTAATTATTTAGGATGGGGGTTTTTTGTTTGATTTTTTTTYCCTCCTTTCAAGTCACCTGAAAGTGGACTCCTAATTGTCACAGTTCTTACACCAAGAGGAGATGTGTGAATAAACTGCAGAGCTTCCAAAGTACCATCACCAGACATCTCCAGCATCACCCACAAGGCTTGAAAGCCAAGAAAGCACCATTTGCCTTTAGCACCAAGCACTCARTTCAGGCCTGAGCTGGAATGTCAGATATTCAATACACAGACTCATCTTTGGGAAAGGCAGCAAAGCAAGAGTTGTTATCTGTCCTGCAAGTGGAAAAAGGCAATGGCTTGCAARCAGAGCCCACTTTGGTTTCACTGCCAGCAGTACCTCCAGCAGTATCTGCTGTTACTCAGCTTAGTACCACTGAGCTCATGCAGTGTTATTCAGGAAAGGGAGATGTTGTTAAAACAAACATTTATTTGCCCTTCAGTCTGCACCAGAGCTGGCACCCAGCCTTGAACAGTCTCCCTCTTCCTCGCTACTGTGGGAAAGCTATGGAAAGAGAGCCCTCCCCGTCCATCTCCTGCTGTTGGCCAAAGAAACAAAAAGGTACAGAAACAAAGAGAACAGGCACAGAACYTGGGGTGTGTAAAATACCACTGCACAGGAAATTAACCTGCAACACTGTTACCTTTGTAGATTCCTAGTAACACTTAGCAAGAGTCCCAAATCCTCAAAATGTTGTCACAGTTAAATTTTTGAGTTTATTACTGCCTCACAATTAATAATTCTCCAATATTTTGGAAATCCCAGGTGCAATGCACGAACCCGCTCAAAACTACAATTATTTACAGTTGTAACCCACTTTTTTCCTACAAACTAACAGATAGAAACAGGAACATATCTTACATTCCAGGGTTGCCATTTAACTCTCATTGCCACAGGTTCTCAAGTGCCTCCTGAAATAGTTTCTAGCTATACTAAAGGAATGACATTTGGAAAAAATCAYCGGTGTGCTGATAGGAAAACATCCTTCTGAAGATTTTCACAAGCTAKTTGGATGCAATTGAAGTTAGTCCTCAGAAAATAAAGAAAGTCATCTTCATGCCCAAACATGCTCACTAAATGCTTCTGGCTATGACATTATTTCATAATTGACACATTATACATAAATACCTSAAGAAAATATCTTTTTGTATATGTCTGGATTACACAGCTATTTATACYCAGTGCTTCTGCAGAGCCTTCCCAATGTTGCACAATGCTCTTGAATACAAATGACCAATTGATCCTTTCACATGATAGGGTGGGGTTGTTTTTTTTTAGCATTCAATACTTTTAATGTTAAAAAAAATTGTACCTCAACATGGTCTTTAATCTAATCCTTACCCTGAACAATTGAAGTACATTTGTATTAATCTATTAGATGCTTTTCCACACCACACCTATGGCACTGCATAAATTACTGTAATTTAAATGAATTACTGCTTGAGAATTCTCATTTGGTAAGAAACATGCAGTATTACATGCTATGGAAAGAAAAATGTGCATTATGGTAACTAAGTTTTATAACACAGTATATCTAGGTGCTCATAAACCAGCCATTCCAAACTGTTAAAGGACAAGAATATTAAAGTGATCACACAGGACACACATCAGTATGTCAAGAAGTCAATAATATGAAATTAAATCTACAGTTTATTTAGATATATTTCCATGCMCATATTCAGAATCCACATTAAAAATGACATTAGGCTAGTTGAAGAATATTACAGCAAAATACATTTACACCAATAGTAATTCTATCTCTGCCTGGATAGCTTGTATTTTCCTCTTTAAGCGTCTGATCTACTGAAACATATTGAAGAAAAATAACTTGGGGGAAAAAAACCCAACAGAAAAAAYCCTGAAGTTCTTTTGTTACGTTATTCCACATATTACTAATGTTTAAGGATGACTTGTTTAAGACTGCACATTTCAACTACCTAACAGTAAAGAATGAAAAGCTTCTTGCTACAAGCTAAAAAGAAAGTCTTTACCATGCTCCTTGAAGAGCTCATTTTCACATTACTCAGGCTTCATTATGCTGAATCAATATTCGTTTAGTCACTGGGTTATTGACATATTTTAAAATAAAAGTATACCCTTCAGCTACTGCACTCATTACGGGTAATTTGTCTTGTCAGGGAGCAGGGAATATTATCCCAGTCTTTCAGGGGCTGACAGCCCATGGAAATACCTCCCCTTGGTTACAACTGTAAATAATTTTAAGGTAAAATATTGAAAAATCAATGACTGTTTCCTGCAATCTGTCACAAACAAATCAATCATAATCTGCACAGCCAGAGAGTATGATTTGAAGGAGATGAGAGCAGATGTAATTCTTGGCTGGAATCTCTCATTTCAAAATCACTTCACATAATGGTGTCATCATTTAAACACTTAGCAGTCACTGCAACTGCCACTCATAACATCTAGTCGGACAAAACCACAAGGAAGAGGAGGAGAAATGCCATTGCTGTTATGTAAACAAACACTTTATTTCAATGGTTGCAACATTAGCAAATTGCACAGATATAACAGCAAGGCTTGCCCCTCCACAAACGGCCAAGGTGCTTTTCCTTTTCAATGCAAGACTGCCTGTAAATTAGCCTCTCAAAATGCAAAGCATTTTAAATTTTAAAACAAAACTATGCTTCATAAAAAGTGAGCAATAATATCGGATACCAAAACCAATTCTAAAAATATTTTTCATTCMCTCCAAATTGCTCATAACAGAATTACGCATCAAATTCTTAAGAGATTAAGGAAGGAGAATTATCTGAGGTACCTTTGTCTTTTTAAAAGCAATAAGGATTTCAATGCTYCTTTGTCCTCTACATATTACATTTCACATCTAATTTTCATTAAGCACACACCAACTCAACTTTAGGGTAGGAACCACTGCAAAGTACATGGGAAAGAAAGTCATAACCTACATAAATTAATTGCTAATGTATTTTCAGCTTGCATTCAAAGACTAAATGTTGTATATAGAATTACATTTGTATAGAAGATCAACTTATACATAAAGAATAAACTACTGTACTTAGAATGCTATAAACTGACCTTTGTAAATGTGAATAAATCRGGTAAAACTACTCTATTTTTATAGAGTAACACTAATGCTTAGTCTAAAATTATTTCCTCATTTGCCCCCCCCACATTTTCACCCCAACACTACAGTGTTCAAAAGAATTCTCTGCAGATCAGACAAGACAGGATAAAACTCTTGTGCAACTGCAACCATAGGCCTAAGCCAGCATTTCTTGCACAAACAAAATTCACAAATGCTCACGGAGTGTTTCCCTCTGGAGTCTATAATTTGAGCTCTTAATCTTTAATGTGCAGAGTCCGTTATCACATGCTCATTTTAATCACATTAACCTTAGCAACTCCTAATTCTGAATATTTATCTTACAACTGTGAGACTAAGAAAAAAAATGCAATCAAAAAGATGAAATTATTTTCAGTTTTCTTGAAAAAAATCCCTTAATACTGTTTTTAAAAATGAAAGAATAGGGCATATTGTACATCTAAGTAAACCTCTCCAAGGTTTGCCTTCCTTTAAAGCAGGCTTTAAGTCTCTTTATCTTCTCCATGGAAAACATACATCTCTAACTCTTTATTGATACACATCAAAACCACTATTGTTTGTAACAGCTGGACAGATTCCCTTTCTTAGCAAAATAAATTAAAAAAAAAAAAAAAAAAGAAACTGAAGTCTTAGACGAGAAGAAGCAGCTAGTGCCTTAGAGGCTAACTAAGTGTAAATATTACTCAGGAAGAGAATCAGCTTATTGTGGGGAAAAGCTGCTCCACAGCAAAAGGAAGCAGGAGAAGGCAGCGGGTGAGGAATTGCTAAAAAACCAGAGTAGCTCCTAGAAATGAGCTGCAGCTCCCCACTTTTTCCCTGGATGAGATCTGTAATGAAGCTRTCTGATAGACAGCCTCAGGCTCCTCAGCCCTTTTAAATCTCCTCCCTGGCCCAGCGACACTCACAGAGGGAAGCCCTGCTCACTACGCTGAGCCATTGTGCGAGGGAGAAGCGCGGTGCGCACGGATCGTGTCGGCAGCTTCCCCCAGTGCCATTCCCCTGAGCCAGCTTCTCATTTCTTGTGACAATCACCTAATTAGGTGGGTCAAGAATTGCAGAAGATAGAAGAGATTCATTCTTCCTACATGCCAGTTGTCCTATTTGTAAAAATGAAGGCAATGGCTCTTCCACTCCATTGTAAGGCACTTAATAAATGTTAATAATAATTAAGTCAGTCACATCTCCCAGAGAGCACTGTCAGATGTTTTCTTGCAGTATTTCAGAACTATTGGGCTCAGGAGGGAGCTCCCACAAGCTCCAGACAGAAAAAGACTCACAAATTYCACCCTTCAATGAAAGAGGTCACAGAGGGCTGTGCCACAGCAGACATTTCACAAGCCCTGAGGAGCAAGAGCAGCACAYGCTGCAGCACTACAGATGTTTATGGTCAGCACCATGAGTGCAATTTCCTGCTGGACAAAGCATTAAGATGCTCTAACAGCTACTAGGACTCTGAAGTCTTTTTGTTAAGAAGTTGAACCAGATGAATGAAAAGATCTTTTCCTTTATTCCATCTTTATCAAGATACAAAAGAACAACAGGTTATGGAAAGAGCCAAAAAAAGAAATAGACACTGGCTTAAAAAATGCTATTAGCATTTCCTGGGGTACCCACCTTCTCCATTTACTGCTGTCACCCATAATGTTCATTGAAGTCATTTTTCATTTATTTAATGCAGCTCCACCTGATCACCAAACAACAGAGCAATGCAATATCACATCATACAATATTACTGATATTACACTATTAGCAATACTCTACCTAATGAAGTTTATAAAGTCTTCATGATTGGGCATCACAAAAAGATGAAGAATGCGGCTATGAAATAGCTCCTGCCTTCCAAGTCTRTTCTTCCCTTCTTCAGCATTGCTGAGACCATCTCACTGAGCTCATCTGGAGAGGACAAAAACAKAAAGAAAAGAAGAGCATACTTATTACAGTTCTTGTCACCTGCACTGCACGATTTGCTCAACAGAAAYGAGACTAAAGCTGATGTATCTGGAAACATTAGTTCTGCATTTCGTAAAGGACTGAACCCAGCACCACGAAGTGAAGTGCCACTACTGTAATGCTTTGCTTAATGAATCATATCATACTCAGAGCAGATTACTTACCATTAACTCTGAACAGAACTTAATATGGTTAAAAAGACTGCAAGCCCAGATGCATTCTGGCTTTGTACTAGGTCTCTTCTGGCTTTGTACTAGGTCTCTTCCCATGTTCAGGCAGGTACAGGATAGGATGGGCTGCTGGGTTCATTTTTCGCACTGTGGACCACTCTGCTTCTCTCTTAGGTGCAATCTATAATGACAAAAAAAAGGAAAAATATGGAGAACAGGGGATGTAACAAAAATATGGTATTTGTCACTGATTCAGACAGCATGTTTCTCTGACACACAAGGATTAGAGACTGAGCAATTCAGGAGTTTCTTCACCCATTGATCCAGCATGTTAGACACTATGTTAGTACCACATCCCACTGCAAGGCGCTCAATACTGCATTTTCCAAGAAGYGTGCCACAAACAGGGGCTATGGAATTCAAAGATCTGAGGAATGTGAAAGTTTAATGGCATTTTACCAAGGAATCAGTAACAACATTAATAACTTGCTCAGAAGCACAACCGTCTAACAATTATATGAGCACAGACACCATTTTACAGCTCAACATTTCTGAGACAAGAAGAGTTCCAGTTAGGTAAACTGAGGCTGAAGTTACATGAACAAATCTAGGCCAGTCTAAGTCTCTCTGCTCTTCTGCAGCCCCTTCTACAAGAACTACCTGGATGACCTCAGCTTAAGCTTTACTTAGGGACACACTAGTACAGTGTATACTATAGGGAGTATCAGCTGAACTTCAACTGAAGCAATAAATTAAATATTGAAAAAAAACCACTTAAGAAAAAGAAATAAAATACCTTTAAAATAACTTTTGAAACTTAGACTCTACCAAGCTGTCGTCTTCCCAAGCGACATTTGTGGAACCTAATGCCTACAGGAACTGGGCAAAGCCCTTCCTAGACAACAGCAGAAAGTCAGCACAAAAAAATTCTTGCACTGCCAGTATCATAAAGAAGTTGTAGGCACCTTTTTATAATGACAGAGTATTCTTAATAAAAGCTTCAAGCAGGTTTTACAGCTGCATATTATCCAATGAAACCAGTAATAAACAGCACTGTAGAATTATTTAGTGCAACTCCAATACGCCGAGAGTCTGGAGCTCGGCTTTATTTATCACACAGGATAAAATGTTAGTTCTTGGCTTTACAGTAGCAGCCAAGCCTGTAGCTATCTTTTATCCCAGCACACTGCCATCTGGATATTGATACTTTGCTATGGGATATGAAAGAAGAGCATAGTTACCTAATGCAGCTTAATTGAAAACACAGGACCTACATATTATGCCATGCATTAYTCTACACAAAATTAAATCTGAAGGGCATGAAAATTTCTGTAGATGTCAGCAGAGAATATTTCAGAGGTAAATGCTGTGCTCTTGATCTGCACTAGAAATGCTAGGAAATACTATGAAAAAAYTTGTGCTTGCAAAAAGAAAATGCTCAGTTTTGCTCTGCTAGGAAAAAAGAAATTGTTCAGGAAGGTGCACCTCCTTTGGGAAGAGCAGAGGAGTCATCAGTCACATGTTTATTAGTAAATTGTTATGATGATCCATATTCACCTTGAAAGGTCCCACTGATATGTTTT